TATTTCTTTCTTCAGCAAAGAAGCCGGGGGCAGCAAAAAGCGATGGAGGGAAGTACCTGAAGCTCCCAGCTCAGGTCCTCACCTTCTGGATGCGGCTTCCTGAGCAAACCCCAGACACCTGGTCTTGCCAAGCTGGGCCCTCACCTGGGGGCATCTAGTTTGACTACAGCTCAACTGCTGCAGACAGGGACCTTGTCCTAAGCTGGCCCCAGAGCAGGCTGGAGAAGGGGGAGCCCCACCTGCTGACCCTGCCTCTTTCTTTCCATCCCTCCACCTGCATGTAATGGGCTAACTACATGACCCGTGATTCACTCAGCAAATACAGACCGAGAGCCTGCTACGTGCCATGATGTTAGATCCCTGGGAGCCAGTGATGAGGTGTGCAGAGTCCCTGTTCTCAAAGACATTTGTGCATGCGTGCACTCACTTACTCAACAGTGAGCACCTGCCATCCTCAAGGTCCTGAGAGAAATGCAAAAGGACCCAAGTCATCAAGGTCAACTTCCAGAACGTCAGAGCTAGAAGACAGCAGGTTAGACACTAGTCCAACCCTCCCATTTTACAGATGGGGATGAGCTGGCCATTTGTTAGCCTGGGGGTTTGACCTGACCCTCCCAGCTCTTTCTCCTGCATGTACTGGACTGTGCTGCCACCAGGCTCTTCAGTGTTCCTGCGTGGCTCCACCCCCCTGCACCCCTGCCTCTGAGGGTGCTGTCATTCAGGCACCAAAGACCCTCTGAACTCAGGCCTCCTGCAGAGGGACGGGTCCTCTCGCCCACAACATTGTGGGGGCAGGTGCATTCTGTGACCAAGTCACACAGAGTCTCCATAAACAACGGGCACAAAAAGGTCGGAAAGGAGGGCAGGGTAGGTACTGAGAACTACTCAGCTCCAGCCTGGACTGAACCAGCCGTGAAAAACACACCTGGATTCCAACCCTAACCCCATGACTGGCTCGCTGATGACCGTGATCAAGTTTTCTGAGCCCTCTGAGCCTCCACTTTCTCGTCTATAAGCTGTGGGGAGCAGTGGCAGCTGCTTCATGAGGTGGTTGTGAAACCTCAGGGGAACTGTGCAATGAAAACTTAGCACATAGCAAGCGCTCAGTAGCAGCGGGGCTGGAACCCCCTTCTTCAGAGGTGTGTGGCTCAGCGACACCTCCAGGAGCTGCTCGGCTGACTTCACGTCGAGGACACCAGGGCCCTGCAGAAGGAGCTGAGTCCACTGGAAGCACGGGCCACAGCCCAGGGCTATCTGGTGCTCAGTGGAGTAGTCAGTGGGGCATCACTAAAGAGGAAGGTGTCTCACCTGGCAGAGGCAGAAAGCAGGAGGCACCGCAGTGCCGGGCAGAGCCCTAACACGAGCAGTTGGCCACTGCGTGGACCTGTCAGTGAGCAGAGACCTGTCCTGGGCACCAGGAGAGAATTCCACATTAGGTACTGCCAGTGGGGGAGGGGAGGGAGGGGGAGCTGGCACGGATCCTCCTTTCTGTCCCAAGGATAGTGGAGACGGCTGAATAAAACCTCCCACAGTATCTGCCCAGCCCGCAATCCACCTTTCCTCTCTGTGAACTAACCCTTCCCACATACAGAGGTGGCCTCAACAGCCACAAAACTCCATCTGTCCAGCTAAGCTGGTTGGCCCAGTGGTACACAACTCACCCAGGCGGAGGCAATCAGATTCTCTTTCTTTGAACAGCTTTGTTGCTTATACCATACAAATCACACCATTTTAACGGTTTTGAGTACAGTCGTAAGGCTGTGCAGACACTGTCCCGCTATGTAGTGCCAGCACATTCTCCTCACCCCCAGAAGAAAGCTCTAACCCTTAGCATCCACTCCCCTTGCGTCCCCAACAACTGCCCCAGCCCCAGGAAACCACTAATCTATTCTCTGTCACTATGGGTTTGCTTATTCCAGACATTTTATGTAAATGGAATCAAACAGGTGTTTTTCTGTGACTGACCTTCATTCAGCATAATATCTTCAAGGTTCCTCTATGTTCTAATATTACAAGTAACTCATTCCTGTTTATGGCCAGATAACATGCCAGATAACTGTACAGATATGGTTATGTTCATCCGTTCACCTGCTGATACACATTCGGGCTCTTTTCACTTCAGGCCATTAAGAATGCTGCCATGAGCATTCATGTACAAGTTTCTACATGAACATCCTCTTTCATTTCTCTTCGATAAATATTTAAAAATGAAATTGCTGGTCTTGTGACACTTCTACATTTAACCTTTTGAGAAACTGTCTTCTTGTTTTCCAGAACAGCTGTACCATTTTATATCCCCACCAGCAATGAATGTATGAGGGTTCCAATTTCCCCACTTCCTCACCAACACTTGTAATTATGCCTCCTTGATTATAGTCATTTGAGAGGGAGTGAAGTGGTATCTCCCTGTAGCTTTGACGGGCCTGTCCCTGATGGCTAATGAGGTTGAACATCTTTCCATGTGCTTATTGTCTATTTGTGCATCTTCTTTGGAACAATGTCTACTCAGATCCTGTGCCCATCTTTTAATTGTGTTGTATCTTTGTGTTATTGAGTTATGTGTTCTTTATATTTTTAGATATGAGTTCCTGTATGTTATATGCAAATATTTTCTCTCCATCTGTAGGTTGTCTTTTCACTTTCTTCATGGTGTCCTTTGTAACACAAGTGGTTCTTTTATTTTGAGAAGTTCTGAGCTTCAGATGTCACACCTGAAAAACCTCTGCCTTATCTCAGATCACAGAGATTACTATCCATGTGTCTTCTAAGAGCTTCTGGTGCTAGCTCCTACATTTGAGTTAATTTCTGCGTATGGTGTGAGAGAGGGGTTAGATTCCATACGACTGCATGTGCTGTCAGTTACCCCACCACCCTTGTCGAGAGACTATTTTTCTCCACTGAATGTCATGACACACTCATGAAAATCAATGGGCCACGAATGTGAGGGTTTATTTCTGGACTTGGAATCCTATTCCATTGATCTGTATGTCTATTCTTATGCCAGTACCAAACTGTCCTGTTTACTGTAGCTTTGCAGCAAATTTTGAAATCACATTCTTTTTCAAGATTGTCCTTGAATTTCCCTATGAATTTTAGGATCAGTTTATCAGCTTCTGCAGAGAAGCCAGCTGAGGTTTTAATGGGGGTGGGTTTCCGGTTCCTGTTCCCGCTTCCTGAGCTCTGCTCTGCCTCTTCTTCCCCTTGGGTTTCCTGGGGCAGCGTGGGATTTTTCCCATAAACTCTGTCTTTTGTTTAACATATTAAACTGGGTTTTGTTTCTTGCAATCAAAAGAATCCTAACCAAATAGCGTAGAAACATGGTCCTACAGAGTGTCTCAAACAACCACCTCAACGCCATCTTCCCAGGACCTATGCCATCAGACCGTCCCCCGAGCACCCGAAGACCCCACCGCAGTCCCAGCCACGCCGTCACCCCATGACCCCAGCCCTCACTGTGTTTTGTACCTACTCCCTTTCCAGGTTACATATGCCCTCTCTACCAGTGCAAACTAACAGGCCCTTGTTACATTAAACTGAACCAGATGTCCCAAGACAGCACCACATGCAGACTCGCACCCCTCCACACCCCTTGGCATCTCTGCTCCATGCCTCACTCAGCATGCAGATAAGAAGCTCTAGGCCAAACACTGCCGTGCACGCTGGACAAAGACGCAGAAACTGAAGCGCACAGAAGTGAAGTGCCGTGCCCGATAGTGACTCCCCATGACACTGGGCTGTGCGGATGCGCACCCCATGTACAGACTCAGGTGGGCCCATTGTCCCACCTTGTCTCTAAGAGTTGCTTTAGAAGCCACCTCCTTCTATCAGTTACTGCCCCCACGGCACCTCTGACGTTGACTCTATGAATAAACTAAAATAAAAGCTCTGAGAGCAGGAACAGTTTGCCACGCATCCCTGCCCCGCCGACTGCCCACCCTCACCCTTCTGGGTAAAACAAACCAGAGTGGGGAGGCTCTTATTTTGACCACCTTACATGCCAACTCTCAAGACTGGCTGTGTTTTGCCCAGCAACCTGTACCCGGGGGAAATTCATTCAGTGCTGGCAACTGAGTGGTGTGGCAGAGAGAGAATGACCTGGAAAGCCTCTCGGCTGAGATGGGGAAGTTAGAGGCAGAAGAAGCCAACTCTGAAGGAGGAATTTTCCATGCACGAGCTAATTAATATGTGGCAGGATAATGTTTTGAGCTAGTGACCTATGCTATTTTTTTCTCCCAGAACTTCCCTCATTTTCAATTCACTCCATTGGCATAGATGATTGGCCAGTACTCATTGCCTAAAGGAGGGGTGCAGATGGAAGTTGACTTTTGTTAAGTTCAAGAGGGAAAGGGCATCAGGATGCAGACACGACTGTATGGCCAGAAATATAGAGGGGAGAGGAAAGGTTCTAGGAGAGAGGTGTGTCTGCTCAGGGCTTCCCAGACAAACAAGAAGACACATGGTAAACCGAGCACATAATTCCCAGTCCCTGAATCTGCTGTTGGAAGTCTCCAAGAGCCCCAGGGCCAGGCCGACCAGCAAGACGTATGTCTGGTAACAGACGACTCAATAACCTACTGATCACACACACATACTGGAGTGTTTTGTAATGTCCTAGAATTATATAGCACAATGTTTAGGTAAGTGAGAGTGTCAGAAAGACAGCCCATGGGACTAGGGCTCCATATAAAAATGTAGGAGGTAGAAAATGCATGTATCTTTCTTACACCCCTAAGATGCAGCCTAAAAGTCACGCCGTTTTCCCACCATTCTGGCTCCTGCTGCTTCCGTCCAGCACCTGCTTTCCCCAAAGACTCCAGGAATCAAGAGCCTGATCCAGCCTCCTCCAATCCCGAAGCCCCCCAGATTGAGAATGACAAATGCAACAGCCCCACCCATGTTTCCCAGAACTTCAAGGGAAATGGGGGAGTGGGGTGCGGCAAAGAGCTTTAGTCAGTCTGCCATCATCTCTGACCTCTACATAACAGGAAGTGGCTACTCACTTGACCTTCAGGCTTGCCAGCATGGTCTTGTCGATCCTGCCAAGAGAAAAGCAAGGGCTATGGTCAGAGCCAGGGCTGAAGGCACCCAACCAGCACCTGCAGGGGAGAGGTCCCTGGGCCAGTCCAGACCACCAGACCGACCGGGGGCTGCAGGGGCAGCTGCTGCTCGGGGAGTTCTCCTCCAGCCCAGGAAGGGAGGGCAGTGAGCTCTGGGAGGTCTGGAGCCACAGCTAACCCTGAGGCGGGTACAGTTATTCTCCCCCTTTTTTAATTTAAATTTATTTCTTAAGATTTTATTTATTTATTTTCAGAGAGAGGGGAAAGGAGGAGAAAGAGAGAGACAGAAACATTGATGTGAGAGAGAAAAATCGATCAATTGCCTCTTGTTCACACTCCAGCTGGGGACTAACCGGCAACCAAGGCATGTGCCCTGACCGGGAATTGAACTGGTGGTGGCCTTTTGCTTTGCAGAACAACACCCTACCAACTGAGCCACACTGGTCAGGGGGATTCTTCACGTTTTAGAAGTGAGGAAACTGAGGTTCAGAAGGGTGAAATCACTGGCCCAGTCTGAATCTGGGTATCTGACTCCACACCCAGGGATCTTAAGCACTTTGTGGGTAGCCTCTCCCTTCGTTACCCCCATTCCACAAGAAGACTGGGAAACCCAGATTCCTCAGTCACTGGCAGCTGGACATTCAACACAGCGACACTTCCCGAGATTCTGCTCTGAAAAGATGCCAGCACTCCCAGCACCAAAGACATCCCCATTCTGTGAGCTGGCATTCTAGCCAAGGAGGCAGACCTCACTCCTGGGATAGCACCTGACAGCAGGCTCTGGGGTTCCCAGGCGGGTGGGGCCCGTCAGGCCCAGGAGCTCAGCACAGGGGAGATCACGTCTGCGGCAGACTGTCCCAGCAGCCAGCTCCTCCACCCCAGCCTGCACCTCACTGGAAGACAAAGCAGCTCTGCCAAGCTTCTATTTTTACTCTCTGCACATGTCAGCCCTTGTGGCTGGCAAAAGAGGCGCCTTTCTCTCCCCAGAGACAGAAAGGTAGGCAACCTTCCCACCATTGGTGTCTCCTCTTGTTTAGGGGTCACGATCGCCAGTGTCACCACCAGTGTCACCATTACCATCAGTATCACTACTACTACCATTGTGACCATCACCACCAGTGTCATAATTACCACCAGTGTCAGCACTGTTGTCAGTGTCACCACAGTCTCACGTCACCATCACCACCAGTGTCACTATCACAAGTGTTACCACCCATCAATGTCACTGTCACCATCAGTGCCACCGTCACCATCAGTGTCACCACCATCCCTTTGTCTGCATCACCATCAGTGCCACCAGAATCACTACCACCTCCAGGATGCTTGAAACCATGAAAAGTTCTTTCAGCCACCTTTGTCCATCCAGCTCCTCTCCCTTACACCTGACTGCCGGGGCCATCAGGGGTCGGGAGTGGGACCAGGAGGCACGTGGTGACCATGTGGAGCCGCTCCAGCAGTTACAAGTCAGCCCCAGCAGAGTGGGATCCTCTCCCACTCTGAGTCCACGCAGTCCACTCTGAGTAAACTCCCAGCAACTTTTCTCCCCCCAAGTGATCAGGTATTTAGTAAGAGGCATTTCTATGGGAACAAAAAAACAAAGGACAGGAGCAGACTGTGATCTCAGTTCCCGCGCTCTGAAGACAGGCGGTCAAGACTTCGAGATGTCCGTCCCTACTCATCTCCACGTGGAGTGAAGGCCGGCAGCGGCAGTCTGACAGATTCTCCCCGTCTACGGTTGGAATGTCCCCGGCGATCTTTCTGCAGCAGGAACAGACTGACCACAGAGGAGCTGTTGTGGCGATTTCTCCGAAGTCTACGTCAAGTCGTCCCACTTTAGCCTGCACGGCCTTCAGAAACAGGCAGTCTTAGTCCCCAGTGATTCCAAGTCAATGGATGGGAAGGTGAAAGTATCCGTTTGGAGGGCCATAGCTGAACACAATAGTTTAGCCAACTAGAAAAATTCAGGCTCTAGTCCAGTTTATAGGCAGAAAAAATTTAACCAAAACGACAATGAACAGCACTAGAAACTAATACGCACAAAGGAGTATTATAACTTCTACTGAAACAACCTTCTCTCTAAAATGACGCTCATTTTTATCAAAGATAGCCATATAAAGACTAAGTTATTTGCAAAATAACTCTAGTTTCAATAAACTTGGCCTGATTATTCCTATAAGTCCAGCAAGAATAGTCAACCCCATAGGCTCTTTAAAATCTGCTTTGTTGGAATTTTTCGTGAGGAATCTTCAGATGGAAACTTAAAGTCCTCTTGAGGCTAAGGAACCGAGCTGCGTACTTGCCGTAAGACTTTGCCTGCAACAACTACAGAGCTGGAGTTAATTCCTCCCTCCTCAAGGACCCCAATATACCCTGAGGTTCTCTCTTTGCATTTCCCAGTGAGTGCTCTTTGTTCTTTACCTGAAAAGAACACTGCAAACCGAGGTTAGCGAGGCATCAGAAGTAAGCTGAATCAGGGGACTTCCGCCAAGATGGAGGTGTGGGTGGAAACACTGTGCCTTCTCACACAAGCAAGTTTAAAAACAACAAAGTTTTAGCAACAAAACGCAGCCAAAACACAGAAAATTGAACTATACGGAAGTCCGACAACGAACCACTCAGCCAGACCAGTAAGAGGGGCAAAGCCAGCAGCAGAGCAGGGTCGGCCAGAAAGATCCCCCGACCCAGGTGCGGGCAGTGGTTGGCGGATCCCAGGCGTGGGGTAGCAACGGGTAGACCCAGTGAGGGCGCAAGGTGGCAGGGTGACCTTGCTCACACATTTACGCAGAGATAAACCAGCAAAGGAGTGAGCAATGAGACAGACCGCACAGGTCCCAGCGGCGGGAAGCAGCAGAGGGGATTGCTATTGCCCCTCTCTGACCCCACCCCCACATACAGTGTCACAACCCAGCAATCTGGGTGGCCCCGCCCTGGTGAACACCTAAGGTTCCCCCTCCTATGCATAACAGGAGCAAACAAACCAAAACATAGCTCAAGAAGAACTCAAAACCCCAGAACCGATAACTCTAAGCGACCAAGAAATAGCCAACCTTTCAGATGCACAGCTCAAAACACTGGTGATCAGGATGCTCGCAGAACTGGTTCATTTTAGTCACAAATTAGAGGAACAAATGAAGGCTAAACTAATAGAAATGAAGGGAAATGCACAGGAAACCAATAGTGATGGAAAGGAAACTGGAACTCAAATCAAGAAACTGGGACCAAAAGGAAGAAAAAAATGACCAAACAGAAAAATATGAAGAAACAAGAATTCAAAAATGAGGAGAGGCTTAGGAACCTCCAGGACATCTCTAAACGCTCCAACATCCGAATTATAGGGGTACCAGAATGGGGAAGAGGAACAGCCACCAGTGGAAAACTTATTTGAACAAATAATAAAGGAGAACTTCCCCAAACTGGCAAAGGAAATAGACTTCCAGGAAATCCAGGAAACTCAGAGAGTCCCAAAGAAGGTGGACCCAAGGAGGAACATACCAAGGCACATCATAATTACATTAGCCAAGATTAAAATGAAGGAGAGAATCCTAGAAGCAGCAAGAGATAAGGGGACAGTCACCTACAAAGGACTTCCTATCAGACTGTCAGCTGATTTCTCAAAAGAGACCTTACAGGCAAGAAGGGGCTGGAAAGAGGTATTCCAAGTCATGAAATCCAAAGACCTACAGCCAAGATTGCTCTATCCAGCAAAGCTTTCATTTAGAATGGAAGGACAGATAAAGTGCTTCTCAGATAAGATCAAATTCAAGGAGTTCATCATCACCAAGCCCTTATTATATGAAATGTTAAAGGGACTTATCTAAGAAAAAAAGATAAGAAATATGAACAGTGAAAGGACAGTAAACTCACAGTTATTAACAACCACACCTAAAACAAAAGCAAACTAAGAGGACAGCTAGATCAGGAGTGGTCTAGCTGAACCACAGAAATGGAGATCACATGGAGGACTAATAACAGGGGAGTGGGAGGAGGAGAAGGGGGGAGAAGGTACAGAAAATAAGTAGCATAGATGGCAGGTAGAAAATAGACAGGGGGAGGGCAAGAATGGTAGGGGAAATATAGAATCTAAAGAACTTGAGACACATGGTCATAAACTAAAGGGGGGGAATGTGGGGGAGGGGGTGTGCAGGGTGGAGGGGAATGAAGGGGGAAATAGAACAACCGTAATAGCATAATCAATAAAATATATTAAAGAAAAAAAGAAGTAAGCCAAAGCAAAATGAGAGTTTGGTTTTCTCTCTCTGCTGAAAGGACTAATGGTCTGCTACTGATTTTGTGGAAAAGTCTTCTGCCCAAAGAGCAAAAAAAAAAATGTTTTATTAAAATAGTTAGTTTTTTGATGTCTTAATCAGGTACTTGATTATTTAAGAAAACAGAATCTCAATAATAAGAACTACGTTTTGCTAACAATTATATAAACTTCTGTATTTTCTTTGAAATCTTTCATTGCCACTTTGGTTAAATGGATAATTAAGTATTGCTTCATACTGACTTATGATCCTCTTTAGTCAAATGTCCAAACCTCTTGTTACAGTTTGACAAACTTCCCAAAATTTAAATGATAAATTCGAGTCTTGACCTGAGAATAACTTTGGGGTGTTCTGTAAGGACCCCTGAATACCTCAAAAGATCTGTTTTTCTAGCACCTTCAGATATCAGTTCCCAACAGCAAAACAACCCACACCCAAGGCTCCCAGTCCGGGGCCCTCCCAGCATCTTCTCCTGCCTCCTGGATCCCATCCTTGGGGCTTCCACACCTGGTCCCAAAGGGTCTCGCTGGCCCCCAAACCCCTCTGCAATGCAGACCCTCCTCCTCTCCCAGTTAACACACCCTATGAAGGTAGGTTGGACCCAAGAGTCAGAGCCTCACATTCTGCTGTAATATTTATAACCCAGAGCAACCTAATTATAACCCCAAACTATAAGCCCTTACATTTTAAATTTTCTCAAAGGATCTGTTTTAA